CAGCAGTAGGACAAGAGGGCTGGGTCTTCAGCTGTGCCAGGGCAGGTTTATGTTGGATATTGGGAAGAAATTTTTTCCAGAGAGTGCTCAGCCATTGGAATGGGCTGCCCAGGGAGGGGGTGGATTCTCTATCCCTGGAGGTGTTTAAGGACAGACTGGATGTGGCATCAGTGCCATGGGCTGGGAACCACGGTGGGGTTGGATCAAGGGTTGGACTTGATGATCTCGGAGGTCCCTTCCAACCCAGCTGATTCTGTGATTCTGTGATTCTGTGATTCTATGATTCTATGATTCTGTGATTCTGTGATTCTGTGATTCCATCAGCTGCTGGAGCACTCCAGCCAAACAGCCTGTGAGCACAACCTGTGCAAGGCCACACCTGGTCTGACCCCTGCCATAGAACAGGGACGTGTTAAGGATAAACAACACTCAGGGTAAAGCTGCAAGCTGCTGCTGGGGACAGAGCAGGGCTCTGTGCGTGGCCTTTGCACACACAGGGGCACGGAACGAAACCAGGATGAGATGGATGAGCCTGGGTGATGTGCTGCAGGCTCCAACCAGACAGTGACCTTCTCCACCCCCGCTGAACAGCGGCTTGAGAGGCTCAGCTGCACCACAGAGTCCCAGAGTGAACTCGCTGCAGGATGGGGGTTTTCCCGGACGCCCACCCGGGGCTGCGCGCTCCTCTCCCTGGGTCCCGCTTTCCCGGTGGCCATCTAGTGGAACGCAGCCGAAACGCTCCCAGCCAGGCAAGCGGGAACGGGGGGGGCTACTGCAGGCACCCGGGAGGTCTCGGTACAAACCCGGTCAAACAGGCAGTCCCCTCGCTGAAGGGCTTCCTAAAAGCATCATTTCCAGTCAAACAGTACCAGTTTTACCAGGCGAACTGCTGTCTTTGAGAAAACACAACATCCCAGAGGTAACGGGCTGGTTTCTCCTATCAGCTTGGTTCTACTGTGATGTAACCCTGGTCTGTGCTAAATGAGTTTGTTTCTGATTACATAAAGGTAAGTGAGGTGGGAACTGGGCCTATTTAGTGTATATTGAGCTGCTTCCCTAAGCAATTTATCTTTTTCAAACACAGGAATTGTTTATTTGAGACTGGCGTAAACAACTAACAGAAAAACTAACTCAGTGCTTTAAGAATTCTGGGTTTGTTCCTACCATTAGCACAGCCACGGGTGACCCCAAAGGACTGGAGTTTCCCTGCTGCTGTGGAGGGTGTGTACTGATCCATTCCTGAAAATACCTTGGCTGGAAAATTCCTGCTCCTTTGGAAGGGCAAAGGAAATGCTCAAAGTACTGCAC